CACACACCCGGCGTGAGTCTAAGCCGCCGGGTCTGGGACTTGAACCACGGTCGACTACATAGGAGTCCAGCGACATAGCCTTTATGCTAACTGCTGGTCCCAGTTTAAGTGGAATTCTGAAACTAAAACTAACGGGTGGCTTTATTTAAAATTTTTATTTTAAAGTTAAATATCAATGTAGAAATTCAGATAAATTATATAATTTGGGAGAAAAACTTGGTTCAGAGTGCAGAACTCACACAGTTCCTATCAATTCGAGATTTTCAGAAGGACAAGTCACTTAGAGTTAAAGGGCATTTAGTGTATTAAATGTTGTTTAAAGTAAAGGCACACGCTGTCAGCCTGGGACGTGCTGCTCTTTGTGGATGCTTAGAAAGGACTAAGCAGGGGTCACTGCCAGTGGGCACCCCACCATTCAGAACAGGACTGGGGCGGTGGCCTCAAAGCTGCATCTGCATGGCAGGTCACTGCTGCCACCCAGCGTGGGCGCCTCTGTCCTGGGACAGCAGCGAAGTCTGCCAAGGCCGCAGAGCTGCCTCCTCTGCCTGCCGACTGGCCCGGCCAGCCTCATCTCACCTGCGCCCCTCCAAGGAGAGGCCTGACACGTTCTGGACCAAGTTACTCAGTGAGTCGGTACGTGGGATTTTCAAAACAGGTCATTGATATATAGGGATGTCTGAGGCGTGGAGCTCAGTGCAGGCTGTTTGTGGTCAGCAGGGGACTCGGTTTCACTCGTTTTTATTGCCAGAGGGTACGTCCACCTGCCAGAGAGAGAGAGAGACATGGAGAGGCAGAGACAGGGTGGGGTGGAGAGAAAGCACCCCCCAACGGGGGTGTGGTCATGTGGAATCCCCTCTGTTCTGTTTCTCCATCCTGCCAGTATTCTGGGGACACACACATGGGTATGTCTAAGCCACTGGGGCCGGGATTCCAACCATGCAATCGGACAAGTGGGAGCCGTCTCCTTTAACCACTAGGCCACGGGACCAGCCTTTGTCCTCTGAGACAGGGTCTTACTATGTCCACGTGCTCCTGCCTCAGCCTCCTGAGTAGCTGGGACTTCAGCTGTGTGCCGCTGCCCCTAGCTTTTGGGTTGCCAGGGTCCAGGCCCCAGGCCGCTCATGTGACCTCTGCCTGCCCAGAGCAGTGTCGGCCCGCATGCCATGCCACAGCTGGGCCTCTGCACAGTTCCCAAGCGCGGACGAGAACATCAGCTACCACTGACTCCAGTTATCACGTGCCAGACATCCCTCTCTGCACCACAACTGCCTCCCCCGCTCTCAGGTGACGAGATGAGGACAGGCTGGCAAGAATCTGCCCGAGGTCTCTTAGGTACCGTGTGCCTGGACCTGATTCAGAACAACCCTTCCCTGGCCCCTCATGGGGAGACGGCAGACAGCACTGCCCAGAGGCCACAGGGAGCCAGAGCAGAGGAGGCGTGAGCAAGGGTGCCGCCCGGGACCGTGTGGCCATGCCGGAGGGGCCACGCTGGCAAGGCGGGAGGTGGACGGGGACGAAGGGGGTCATGCTGTGGAGGAGCCGTGCCAGCCGGGGAACCGAGGCCTATTTCACAGACAGAAAGGGTCGTCGGTTCTCAGATGCCAACGCGCGGGGGTTGGGAACCGTAGGCTGGCGGTGGAGAGAGAGCGGGCAGGGGGACTTAGGAAGCAGGCCTCTGAGGACACTCGCGGGCATCCCTCCTGTTACCGCTCAGCCCCCTGCGTGCTCGGAAGATCCTCGAGTG